GAGCCACCAGGTACCCGGGAGTGCGCTGGGGTGGAAATGGTGGGTCCGTGGGCCTGCCTTGGCCTGCGCGGCTGCTCCTGGGAAGGCCGTGGTTTCGTCTGTGTTAATACGTGCTCCGACTGTGACTGACAAACCATTGCTGCAAATGGGGTTGGGATCACGCAGAAGCAGAGGGGGACAGTCAGATTAGCCAGGTTATCCCACAGGCTTGGTTTTCATGACGCACGGTTAGGTGGATAGCTGATACGTGATCCATGACCCATATGTGAGACTGGTATAACATTTTCTAAATATGAAAACTGGTATAGAGAGTTCGTGCTAGACCATGTGCCCAGGTGAGTTTTTGATCTGGTGCAAGGAACCCTCGAGCTGGATTTGCCGGATTGTTAAAGCATGGCCTGGGTGGCCTTCAGCAAGCCGTGTAGACTCTCTGACTTGGCTTCCCCAGATAAAAAATTGAGCTAGGGCTTTAGATGTCCTTTGTAAAGTACCCTAGGCCTTGTTACGTTGAAGTACAGATTTCAACAAAAATTTGTGTAATTGAAGAAAACAACCACAATGATTTTAAATGTAACTACAATCCCTCAAATACTTCAGCCTTCATAACCATTAGCAGCCCTTCTATTATACTCTGCAACAAAGAGAATATTCATAAAAACATCAGGTGAAAAGTTATCTTTTTAATTTTTCAGTGAGCTGAGTAAAATTAAAAGTTTGTGTACAGCATAGAATTGATTTAGCACCATTCATTCACTTAAAGCAGACTAAAGAGTTGGCAGTGTGTCAAAGAAAAGAGGGTGCTGGACATTGTATATTGTGTAATGGTAATGTTCTACTTTTCTAGTAGTCTGGTTTCTGAAGTGATGAGGAGCTATCCATGTGATAGGCAATTTCTGTGTTTCCACAGAAAGTGGACTGGTTCCTGAAACTTAGCCTGCACCATGGTCCTTCACTCAGCCATTTGTCATGTGTTGGGGGGTGTGTGTGTGTATGTATGTGTGTAACAAAGCTTTACTGAATGTTATCTAGCTCTGTTCTTAACAATAATAGATGTCTTGTGAAAGTTTGGTAATGTTCTGCAATAGTTAATAAATTGTAATGCCAGATGTGATATCCTGTGGATGACTACCTAAGAAATTGTCATTTACAACACAACAAAATGCTTAAAAAAGATTTGGAATCTTGGGAATGCAGCCTTAGAAGATTATTGGAATACTGTAAACGTGTATGCAGTACATACGTGCTCTCAAGCCTTCCTATACGCAGTAACTATCTCATTTACATCGTGTCGTTTGGAGGGTGAAGGAATTAAGCAAAACCTTTTATTATTTTGTGAAAGGGTAAATTTATTTCCAAGCTTACTGTTTCTGAACTTGCTGAACAAATGCATCAGTGTCAGTGCACGTTGTAATTTCTGTTATTCTAGGCTTGCACTGGACTAAAGAAATTACGGTAAGTATGAAGAGTGAGACCGAGATTCTTCTGTAGTGGTGGCAGCCAAAGGGTCTGTGTATAAGAGGACACTTAAATTATTATTTGTGTAAATGACCTTGGATAGTACTAAATGGTGAAATGCCAACTGAAATTTGCAAAATGTGTCAATACAATGCTATTTGCATTGCAGTTGGTGTAACTTTTTTTCAAATCTGGGTGCTTATTTTTCTGGGAAGCATGTGAGAACTCAGCCCATAGGCGTTGTGTTGTCTTGGAAAAGTCTAAACCTTACGCTTCTAGATGAAAATCTTCTTTTGAGTGTTGTTAAACTAATAATTGGGCAATTTGAATAAAAAGGATTCTATGCAATTTGCACTGAGTTCCGTCTGAACATGAGGAAGAACTTCTTCCCTCTGAGGGTGACGGAGCACTGGAACAGGCTGCCCAGGGAGGTTGTGGAGTCTCCTTCTCTGGAGATATTCAAGACCCGCCTGGACAAGGTCCTGTGCAGCCTGCTGTAGGTGACACTGCTTCGGCAGGAGGGTTGGACTAGATGACCCACAGAGGTCCCTTCCAACCCCTACCATTCTGTGATTCGGTGACAGGTCATTATATAAAAGTGGTTTTGATGAATTGAATTACATTCAGGAATACTGAGATAGTCAGGCATTTTGATCGTTTCTGATGTTTTCTCTTTTTAATTCTCCTAGACATCTGGATTCAGTTTTCTTATACAATTTGTAAAACAACAAAGTAAAGTCAAGGGGGATTTAAGTGTTTGCTTTTATGTGGAAATCAAACAGAAAAATGTTCCTATGTAAGTACTTTTTGTATATAATAACAAGGTTGCTTATATGTTTTAGGCCTGTATATGTACATGAAACCATGCTATTTGAAAGTGTTGCTGATACAATTTTTTGGATATTATTTAGCAAATGACAGATGGTTTGGCATCTTCCGTTGAAATCAACTACAGAAGTATTAGAAGGTTTTTTTCTGTATAAATGTGAAGCTTGAAAGAAAGCCTTCCATTTTGCTAGTGCTTTCATAAACCAGATACACAAGAGATGAAGATTATGTGTAATACTTTATTTTCTTGGTATGGTTTCTAGTGAGTCTGTACAGCCAAGAAAAATGATAGACACATGTAGAAAAGAGAGTGAGCATGGAATACTGAAGTGGCAGCACCTCAGGAAAGCTATTTGTTTTACAAAAGGGATTTTGCAGTTCTGGCTCAGCATTGGTTCCTGGCCGCATCATGTAGCCAGTTTGTGGCCAGTTATGATTCGTGGAGCTGGTCCAACTTTCTACTTTTCTCTGCAATTGCCAGTGTTTCCAATTGGCAAATAGGTATTTTCCAGGAAATCTTACACTGCCTTTTCTATGTTGAAGCCTTTCTGTCTGTGTTCCTTCATAGACTTAGTTTTAGGATAGCATATACTGGAGTTTGCAGGATGAGGATGTTCATTGTTTTGGCAGCTGTCATTAAAGCAGAATGCATTTGGCACCAAGTAGTATGCGATTGGTTTTGAGATTGTCCTCACCTACAGTAAGAAATAATTGAATTTTATTAAATTAATGGAAGTTTATACACTCTTATAAGTGTTTCTCTATTAACAGTACATAGGAGTTATTAGTGCATAGTTACATAGTTGAATCTGGTTCATTCTGGTTCATTTTGACAGTGAAAAGCAGGGTGTTCCTGTACTTAGATTTCAGTCCAAAACTGAAAATGAAAAATCTTGGGGATTGTCTGGCTCTGTGTAGATGCTTCAGCTGTAGATAACTCAGCAAATGCAGAATTTTTAGTTTTAGATTTTGAATGCTTTTATAATAGTAAGTTTAAACAGCAAAGACATGCAAAAAGATATGATTTAGAAAGCTGAGGTTGATTGAGGTCAGAAATCAGAGAGTCTGTTCATATTCACACTCTTGAAAGATTGAGGCAGCTGAGAGATGGGAGTGCCTTTCTTTCCTTCTTCCCACCCGGTGTTCCAAACTTTGAGAAATTTATAAAGGTTGATGTTTAGATCGTATGTATGTAAATCTACAATACTTTATATATATATGTGTGTGTGCATGAATGTATTCTTCATATATAAAGTGCACAGTTTCTGCAGTGAAAAATAGTGTTTTATTTTTAGAAAATCTATGGCTACAAATTAATTTCCTTTGCAACTTCCCCATCAAACAAACAGCCTGCTATTCCTCATTCCCAACCAAAACAAAGTTAAACTGGTATATTAATTTAGACAGTTTTCCTGTGAATAATAGGTGCCAGGCCTCTGCCACAAGTGTTTTTAATCTGCCAGGTTACTAAATAAGTCTCTGTGCATAAAACATGAAAGGATATCTTTTAAAAAATACTGTAATTTTTGCAGTGATAAAGTTGGTGGTATTTTTCCTCTGCAATTGTTATATTTCAATTTTACAGAGTAAGAATTTGAGTCTCTTGTACTCTGTCATCTCTGTGAATTGCACAGCATAGTAAACTGGTGTGCGTAATTACACTAAGCGTAGCTATCTCAGGAGGAGAGGCAAAGGAGACAAAACTGGCAAGCAGTTTTAGGATTCAGCACAATGCAACACAAAAATATTGCCTGTTTGAGCAAGTTTTTACACCTAAACTAATTTTGATGTAGTGCCTCTCTAAAATACAGCCTTTTGTAGCACAGGATGGTGCCAGTTGTGCTATAATGTAAATTTACATAGTTTATGTAGCTGAAAATGAACAAATTGTGTATAAATAGAACAGTGAAAAAAGTTAGGAAGTATCCTGCAGGAAGCAGGTATCAAGTTTACTGACAGTTGTGTTGATGGTAGCCATGGGCAGTTCAGCCTAATCGTTTCAACTGAGCGCTGACAACTCAGAAATGAAATCTTTGCTCTGTGATAAAAGGAAACAGGACTGACAAAACATGTGACTAATCTTCCCTTTTCCATCTGTTTCCGTATACCTATTAGAATAGATAATTGTTCTGGCTCTGATTTTCCAGTGTGCTGTGGTCCACCAGGCTCTGCTGACGTTGTTGGTGTGACACCATGTATTTTCGTGTGCTCTGCTGGCATTGATGATTCTATTACAGAACTACAGTGGTGAATATAAACAGATCTATGTTAATTTTAAAGTCTGCTAGAAACACATGACAAAGGAATCAATTCTGAAGAGGAAAAGGGCAGATACTGTAATGTCAGAAATTTTAATTTTGGCGTTTGAAGATGGCACCTTTTTTTTTTCTAAATCCGAAGCTAATACATGCATCCCATCTTCCTTTGTTTCAAATGCTGTGCCTTCCAATCATTACAGCAGTGTCCCTTTCACTTGAGTGTCTACTACATAGCTGAAATGGCTTGTAAGTATTGTGTATATGACAAAATAGAGAATTAGGACCCAAAGTTTGATTTCTACCTCTTCAGGCAATTTAAACAACAGTTAAAGGGTTTCTGCTATGTGGATCCTAGAGGTTGTAAGGCTCAAGTGCAAAATCAGTACTTTCCTAATAGGATGATACAAATTTGAGTTCACCTGTTTTCAGCCAAGAGAAAGCGTTACCATCTAGTCTACCTAAAAATAAGCCCTAACACTTCCCTCAGTAACTTCCTTGTCTTGTCTGTGGCTTCTTTTTGAGCTACAGCATCTTGTTCAGAGACGCAAAGTCTCGGTTTGAAAGTTGTGGTGTTAAGAAATATTACAAATAAAGTATTCCAGCAGCTACTTATTTCCACTGAGAAAATGTGTAGTTGTTTTTTCTTTAGTCTGCAGAAAATTAAATTGTTTTCTGCATAGTTGTAATTCTCTTAAATGGCTGTGTTTTGAAAATTGGGTGTACTTGTTTAGGGGGGAAAAAAAAGAAAAGCCTCCAGAGCTCTGCCTTTTTCTGTATTTAAGTTCTGCTGTGTTTTGATGGATTGATTTAACATCTCACTAAGTCAGTGGTTCAGGGGCATTTTCATAGTCCTGAGTTGCTTTTGTGCCTTTTGTCAGTGGGAATAGTTAAACACAGTCTTGATTCTGTTGTGGGTTTTTTGTTTTTGTTTGGTTTTTTTTGACTCCACTTTTATTCTTTTTTTATGATGCATTCCAACAGTCATTTTCAAGTAATAAATATAATTGCTATAGCAAAACAGAGTATCACAGTTTGACATCGAAGTTATTTAAATTTTGGAAGAAGTTCTTAAAAAATGTTTCATTTTCGCACTGTTTGAAATGTACACAAGCTTTTCTTTGTTAGGTTGGATGAGTGAGATCTGCTTGTCTGCTCGAGCTACTTCGTGCGTTTCCAGGGTATTTCCACACAAATACACTTAAGCAGCTTTTAGAGGGAGTCTGTTCTGTAACAGGAACTCCCAAGTGAGCCACAGCTTTTGAGTGAAAAGGGGGAGAAGCTTTGAAAAAGTCATCAGGTCTTTGAATTGGGAAAAGGGGATGTCAGGTGGAATAGTTCAGGAGAAGTTCCTGTCCCTTTTCCATGCGAGTTAACATCTCTGGTTTAGACTGAACAGTGTATGGCAAGGGGACTCAGTAAATTGCTGTTAGGTATGTGCTCTTTCAGTATTTCCAGGCACTTGAGCCTGTGAGGCCCCTTGATGGAAACTCCCAGTACTTCTTTTTTCTTGTATGTATGCAGGGAGAAATTGGATTCACGTTAGTAAAAAGGATGAGTGTCTGAATCATGAGTTGTGAGAGAAAGCGCACTGCCTGCCTTTCCAGTTGTCATTTTTAAACTACATGTTAATTTGGATAATAATTGCAGGTTCTTGGTGTTTTTGTTTTCTGCTGTTGTCCCCTGTCCCGTGTGTTGTCCCCATGTGTTGTCGTCCATCCGTGTGTCGTGTGTGTGTCCGTTCCCCCCCCGCCCCGTTCTGGAGTGCCTGGAACACACAGTAAGGATCAGCTTGTCAGGACAACACGTTTTAAGAACTGAAACAATAAGTGAGAAAAGCAGCCTCTTAAACAGCACTTCAAGTTTGTTCCCATTACTTAGGTGTAAAAACTTTGTTTTAGGAAGATGAAAGTGTTGGTTCTTGAATGTGCTTGTACATCGAGACAGTCATCCTGCTAAGTCAGCGTTCTTTTCACGCTAGATGTCAGTGTTAACGTACCTGTTCTGTAACCCCAGGTGTAGTCATTCTGTTGTCTTTGTGGGTACGCCTGTATTTAATACTTCAGTTACAATTTCTGGTCATAAGACAGGAACTGCAAATAACGCTTTGTATGTTGACCCTTAATGGGTGGCTGTCTGTAACTCTTTTTGTTGTGAAACTCCTGTTCTTTTTGCCCTCTGTTGCACCAAGTAAATCCAGGAGAACCAGGTTGGTCTTTGTTAAAATGTTGCCAATACCCAGATTTCTCTTGCATCTTAGTTTTGAATAAGATGGCCTTGAAAACCTGAGAGATAGTAGGTGGGTGATAATTGCATCACTCAAAAGTAAATCCACTGGGGACAACATACTTGGTTTTTCATCCCTTCAAACTGTAAATAATTAGATGACTAGCAGTAATTCATAAGATGTCTCTTAAGGTCATTTGTTAATGTGTTACTTGAGCGTGTTCTGAGACTCCTCAAAGGCATGTGGCTATTTGCCTTGTTTCAGTTTACAAAAAAATTGTTTTGAATTGCCTGTGTTTCATCTGGGGCTTTATAAATGGTGCCCATAGTGTAACCGTAATGTCAATTTCCTGGTGGTTGAAACTAGTCTCGTATATCAGGAAGTACGGTCTCTGTTTTCTGCCTGCGGCTGTAAGAGTGACCACAGCCTATCTTCCTGGGTAAAAACCCTCAGTGAAGGTGTTGTGGTTAGTAATAATAAATAGCGTGACATGGTAAGCACTGTTCTTTTTATGTCTTTAGCTTCTGTAGAACCTGTTATTCTGTTACTCCATAAATAAATCACTGCTTATTTACGTTCTTTTTAGTGTATTTTTCTTTCAGGATTTTAGTTGTCAGTAGGTTTGTTACACTGTGCTCTCTTCAATAACACCTCTTAAGTGTCCAGAAGTACTTCCTTTGATATCAAGAGAACAGGAGCTGCATTTGGTATTTTGGGGAGCTTGAGCTCAAAGGAGGCAGCAGCTGGGTTCAAGGCCTAAGGTTTTATTGAAATATAAGCACAAATGTTTTTTTGGGCAAGTTTTATTGCAAGAGTAGATGTATCACAAACATTTATTGGTGCCATTTTCTCACAGTGAGAAGTAGTATACTTCTAAAATAACACATGTAGTTCCTCTAAGTTGTCAGTGGCTGGAGAGGCTCAGGCAGTGGCAGGGGGGGCTCGGTAGGTTGACCCAGCTGTGTTCCTGTAGTTGAGGAACTTGGTGGCCACAGAGACCAGCTGAGTGCAGGTGGGAGTGCTGTAGAGATGCTCCATATTTGGAGTTTGTGTGACTGTATCTACAAATTAAGAAGTGTGCATCCATTTTTGGATATATATTTGGAAGGGAAGTGTTGGCCGTATGATTAGAAACACGGTATATGTTTCGTGTGAAGTTTTAAAGGCAAAACAGCAGAGTTCGATCATGTAATTTCACTTTTATTTTGAGTGTAGCTGTAATGCAACTGAACAAATGCGTTTTTCCAAGAGTAGGAAAGAGAAGCTATAGTTTTCAAATTTTCTTTGTAATTTCAGAAAGCTGCACATCTGCAAAAGTTGTTGCTGCTGTTGATGTGAACACTCTTGCCAATGAAGTTTATAAGCACAACTTTCCCAGCATACCACTATGGGCAAAGACAATTGAGGTGAGTAATCAATGTCTTTTTTACTCTAGTATGGCATTTGTAGAATTAAGTTATATTCACTGTGCTTATTTAGTAAGAAGAGAAACAAAAGGGTTTAATTTATGTTGTTATGAATAGAGTGGTTTTACAATAACTTTGATTTCTTATGCTACGGTTGCTTGTTGAAGTTAGAGGGATGCTCTCACTGCAGCCTTTTCCTGAAAGTCTTGGCTGCAGCATCAAGAAAGGTTACATGAATGTCAAGAGGAATGCTTATCACCAACAAAGGAATGACAAAGATCATATTTTTAAATTAAAAAAAATATTTTCATGGATTTTTAAAGAATTTAATTAAATCACTTGGAGGCATGCCTTCATTTTGTAGTTATAGTTGAGCTCAGTAAAACACAAGACAATATACTGGATGGGACACTCTTGCATTTTTTTGTGGGCTCAGTAGATCAAATTTTTTAGGAATTCTGTCCCTTTTCCAATTTGTTTTTAGAAGAGCTAGGTAAAATTGGATTCTGTTTTAATAATTGAGGGGAAAACCAGGTGTGTCATTTTGCCTGGATTGAGTTAGAAATTACTGTATGCTGCTGCTTTTACAGTTTTACAACGTGACTGTAGAAGGTACTGAATTTAAGACACCAGCTTAAGTAAGACTTCAATAGGCCACTATAGGTCGCTCAGTAATAACAGGCTAAATGATAGTTTTGTATGGAAAAGAAGAAGAATGCTTGCCTATGTCTCCTTATAATAGATATGAGCAGATTACAGTCACTAAAACCTTCTATAAATTTGTTGGAAAAAGAAAAAACTTTTGTCTAGTTTCTGTGGGCAGTTATATTACATTTGCTATATAGATATTCCTCAAAATATGTAAGGCAGTGATTTCTTTGTCCAGCTTGTAGTTACTTAATCATTATACTTTTTCTCTCCTCTTGGCCCCTTAATGTGTTCTCTTTCTAGTGTTAGTTACAATTTAGTCTAGAGGAACTTCTATGTGTGTAACTAATTTGTGCCACAGACCTAATTCTTTCTCTCTGAACAGAAATACTTTTGCAGTGTAGGGCTTTCAGCCATATAATATCTTCGAGGGATTTTTACTGGGCAAAAACTGGGATGAGGGAAACTTTATAGGATGTGTTAAGAGCAAGCTCCTAAGAGTTAAAATCCAATTGAACCTGTAAAAATTATCATGTTAACACTTGACCTGCTTTTCTGTTCAGATATTTTGTCTTTTGAGAAGATCTAATATTTTTTCACCTGTTTTGAATATGTTAATATTGTTTCTGATATGCAAAGACTTAATATCTGAATAATGAAACTTATTTGGAGGAGGGATGGGGAGAAATAACTAGTCAGTATTTTGATGTGATCTACCGAAAGAACTGCGCTACACACCTCTTCTGAAAGAATGAGTAGATAAAAACCTCGAGATGGTTGATGCTAACATCATTAGTGTTTTTGATTCGTATTCAAATCAATTAATGCATATTTGCATTGTATGGTTTGCCAAGGTAGAAAAGATTGGAATTATTAGGTTAAATGGGAGATCAGGTAGTTTTTTGCTAGGTGAAGCGTATAGTGGAAGTAAGAGGGATAGTTTGATCTGGAAGATGACTTGAGAGTTTCATACAGTTTACAACACTCAACATTCTTCTATTTTTTTTCCTTATTCAGGGCATAACACTGAAAGAATTTGACAGATTATCTTTTGATATGATTTTGATGAGTCCTCCCTGTCAGCCATTTACAAGGTAGATATAGCACACTTTGGAGAAAAGTGCAGTTATTACAGTATGTTATTACTGTTAAAGGAGAAATGTTTTCAGAAGTGCCACTATGTGTGGTTTATCTGTGTATCTTTCTCTTCCCAAGCAAAAGTGTTGTAGATCTGTTCATGATGGTGTTACTGAAGTGGAAGAAATACAGCAATTTGAATCTTAATTTAAACTGAATTAAAATAGATGTAAGAAACATGATCAATAATTAAGTAAGCTTCTTGCAGCACCTGTTCTGCATGCAGTGAAATTAGAAGATTTTGCTGTTCGGGAGTGCTTTCTTTCCCTTCAGATATCAATCTAATTTTTTTCTGGGGAAACTCCAGAAGGAGGATTGGAGTTTCTCACTCCTGCCTGAGACGAAGAGTGTAATCTGGTTTTATCTGTACTTTGAAAATTGCACATGCACACAAATAGTTTATTCTGAGGAGTGTTCTATTTTAGCCAAGAGTAGGAGGGTAACGGCTTTGAAATGATTTTGTGGATGATACAGAGAAATATCTTGCTGATTAAGAGCTGAACTTACTGAGATGTTATCTGTCATATTAGTTTCAAATTAATATTGCTTGACAGCAGTGACCAGTGAAGGTAAAATTCTAGTACCTGTACTCGTGCAAAGTAGTAGCTTCATGAAAAAGTCTGTTCATGGTGATGAAACTGCCTGTTTAAGAAAGTGTATCTCATTGAATGCTCCAAGACTAAAAAGAAATCCCTTCAGAGTGGTGCTGATGTAAAAAAGTGTTTGTGCAAACCTATGATCTATACAATTTTTTTTTAATAATCTGGTGAGAAGAAAAATCTGTGTATGACTAATTAATTTAGAGAGATGATAAAGCTCTTCAAGATTTTCTGTTTTTTAATGAGCTAATACAAGTGTAAGTTAGGGGAACACAGGCCTGGGATTGTTATATTATGTTACCATTTTTGTAACCTACAGGAGCTGTCCAGTTTAATGTTACAAAAATGGTTACAAAGTTATTCACATGGGGCTCAATCCTGCAAACTGGTGAGCACAGAGGCTTTAATTCATAGAAATAAGTTAATATATTCAATTTAAAATAGTGAGGTATTCCCAGGAATCTAGTGGGGGTTTTTTGTTCTTTCAGAGCCGAGTGTGTTCAAGGGGTTTGCTGGACAAGACCAGAATGCTAAATGCTTTGCAGATGGGGAGTGGATTTCATTACTGAATGCTTCGATTTTAACCTTGCTGTAAGCTAATGGATTCCAGGGGCAGACTGTAATTCCTTAGAGCATTTGTTAGGATGCTGCCTTTGTGAGCTCATATCTGTGCATGATGCTTTTGCAGAATCTCTTTTTGAAACTCAAAGAAAAAGCGTTAGCATTGAGTAGAAAAAAGCAAGTCAAATGTCAGTTTGCCTTAAGTAATATGCAGGTGTTTCTTTATTCTTTCTTAGAATTGGCCTGCAAGGTGATGTGTCCGATCCACGGACAAAGAGCTTTCTCTATATCCTTGATATTCTCCCAAGGTATAAATGAACTTCTACTTCAGTTCTTAAGCCTTTGTTGTAACTAAGTAGGTCTTTTATATTTCAGTGTGAGATGTCATCTATTATGTTTTACAGGGATACTACTAGTATTGTGTTGTATTACTTGTAAGTTACATACGATCATGTGAAAACAAACAAATACTTGTATTTTACTAATGCCATCATCTCTTAGTTACTGTGCAGCTTTCATTGTTTGGTTTTCTTTTTATTTTGTGTCTTTTTAAACTGTGGCTGTATCAGAAGTAAAAAATTTGAGATATTTATTTTCAGTTCATCAAATGTGCACTGACTGTTTAGAAGCAGGAGTAGGTAATGTAATAGTTTGCTAATGGACATCGTGGAAACATGGTAATTGTTTGAAATACTTTTTTTTAAAAAAGCTTTGATTCAATAGTGAGTCACCTTTAGGTAACATTTGAAAGTTTGTTTAAATATGTTACTGACTGCACAGTACGTTACATCTTCTGTCGCCTTCCATTCTTTCTTAAAGTGTCTATTCTGTATTTTTGGTGCTGCGTCTAGATCTCTTGGGGCAGTTTGTGTATTTTTGGTTTGTAGTACAAACTCTTGGATAGTAATACTAAAGCATTCAAATAATGCTGCATTGTCTGAATGGTGCCCTTGTCTTTGTATTGATCTGTCATTTTTGCCTTGTCAGGCCCCGTTTTCTGATTAAATAGTCGTAATTATTTCTGTTGTTTATGTCTTAAATTTTGAAACAGTAAATACAAACAAATCTTTGCTGATCTAAGTTGTTTGTACTGAGAGTGTTAAAAATCAGCTCCAAGTAATGCTTGTACTCTTTTCTGGAAAGAGATGCATAGCACTGTAAGAACCCTTCCTGGGGAATTGGATCAAGCAGTTACTCTGGGAGCTTATCCAGCAGAAATCTTTGCTTCTGGATTGAGACGCCCATTGGGCATGAGCCTGACAATTTGCATCATTTACAGTCTGCCAGACACTAACCATTCCTGGCAGTCCTGTTTCTGCTGAAGACTGGGACAGCTGTTCTCTATATATTCCTTTGTTGGTTAGTGTTGCTCTCAGAGTTGGAGGAGGATGAAGGGAGGTTTGGTTGTCTTTTTTTTTTCTTTTTCTTTTTTTAATGAATGCTTTCTGCACAGATGCAAACTGGTACCAATAACAGCCTTTCTTTCAATCTGCTGTTAACACTGGGAGGAAAGGGTCTTCATCCTTCTTCCAGAAACAACTTTTTTGCATCCAACATTAAATGGGACCACCTCTTTGCCCTTGACATCAGCAGATAAAGAACAGATACAGAAGGGCTGAGCGGCCTGGCTGGGATCACCTAGGAAATCTGTAGCAGAGAACACAAAATGGAACACAATATAGGTTCTGTAGCGTAGTAAGTTAGACAATTAATAGATTAAAAAAAAAATTTATTATTACTCCCCTGCTTCTAGCAGAGACACAGAAATAGGGAGATAATGTGGATTTCCCAAAGTTGCAGAGGATGGCTTTTCTGGAGCGAGGAATGTAACTCTGTCCTCCAGACTGACCTTTCAGAACGATAAATTGAAATCAGTAGATAGTGTGTAAGTTAATGATTTGTCAGAATAATAGTACCTTCCTTGTCCTTAAGGGAATCCTGACCTCAGTATTCCTTTCTGCTAAATGGAGACAGTGAAGAGTCTGGCTGCTTTTGGGACGCTGTTATGCATTAGTATGGAAATCTTGCTTCCTGGTTGCTGTGGGCTTAACTGGATAAAGGGCAGAAGCTTGTCCTACTCGAAACCAAAGCTTTAGACGCTGCAGGACGTATGTTTTTCATCATGACGATGCAAAGGGTCTGGGCTTGGCTCTGGCACTTTATCTCAACACCCCATGAGACTCTGCTGACATCCCTTATCTCCCTTGGGCAGATTGTTTCTTGAGGCAGTACTTATTAGAAGCAGTCTGTAGTATATTCAAGATGGTGGCTTTTGCAGAATTTCTTGGTTCCAATAGATTTATGTTTTACTGAGATAGTGTTTGTGTATTTTTTGGATATGACATGTTTGGCAGACATTGAGTATGGAGTATTTCAGCCCAGAAAAGGGAAATTCTTAATATAGGAATTATCACTTTGCATTCTAAATTGGTAAGGCATGCATTTGGTTTATGGAAACTATAAAACAATTTTTCATCCCTTGGCTGTTGCTACCTTATGTTCAGCCTTTTATGATGAAACATCGCTGAAAAGAGGCTCAAAGATAGCCTGGGATGACAGATATTAGAGGTATAGAAAGGGCAATTTCAAGATCTGGAAAAACCCGGAAAGTCCTTGGAGCACCCAGCCAGCAAATAGAGTCTGATGCAGATTGTCCAGATACTGGCTGTTTATCAAGTCCAGGCCTTAACCCAGGGAAATCTAATGCTAAGATGTCAAAGTGCTACTTTTACAGACACATTTGTAATGTTAATACCTGCCAAGTACTTAACACATACTCTTTGTGTAGTGATTACTTGTCTTGTGATCTGTTGATCTTGTATGAGCTCTTGCATTTCAGGCTGTGCTCTGGATTCATTACTTCAAAAACAAGTTTCATAGTAGGTGATGATAATATTGAGTGTGGGTAAACAAACCAACAGATATATTCTCCATTCTTCTGCAGGAATTTGCTTGCTGCTGCTTTTTTCAGTTCAGCAATATTTTTTTTCACTATTATTTTTAGTATTTTAATTTGACTTAGTAACTTATCCATTTTCCAATCTTTTGTGAAATGCTTTAGTTCTTTAATTCTTCATGTGAATACATTTAACTGATGGTAGTTAAGAATGTGCTAAAATAAATTCTGCTGTGATTTGTACCAGTGGAAGTCCAAAGTCACTTACTGACTTGAATAAGCATAGAGCTGCTGTCTGGTGGCATTAGCATCTGGTTTCTATATGCTGTTCTGCGATCCCAAGGTGTGCCAGACACACTATGTCTAGATTAGTCTTACTAGAGAACTAATCAGTGCCAGGGAGTGTTCCCAGAGACTTGAATCTGAATCACTTATGCCTCTAAATGGTTAGAATTGTCTCTGGCACAGTTTGGGCCTGTTCCTTTCTCCAGAGATTTAATGTGCTGGTTTTGGAATGAGCCTGTTTCCAGGCCTATACACTGATCTTACTAAACCTCAGGCACCTCCTTCCCCTCACTCCCTACATCAAAATGAAAAAGTGAAGTATAGAAAACTGAGAATGCCCACAGTCTGAGCTCTAAATATGTCTTATTTCTTAAAGCAATTAGATGAATGTTGGTTCTGATGTGTTATCACTAAAGTTGATGTGACATTTTCGTGTTGATTTTGGGTTTAAGCACTTTAAAACAAAAGTTTTCTGTTCCATGGCTAAATAGTCATCTTTTTTCCCCAACAATTATCTTTCCTGTTACAAACTCAGTCTGTTGAATAATAATATTACACATTAGGAAATGAACAGTGGTCAGCATTTTCAGAAGTACATGCGTGGGGTACAGGAGGTTACAACAGTCCATCTGAACATAAGTGAGTTTTGCTGTGTTTTATAATTACCAGCAGTCTGCATTTTTAATTCAATTGGGAATGATTTGATCTAGGCAACCTTGAAAGTTGAGGTACGTTTTTTTAAGCATGCTAAAATTTGACAGCTGTTGTAAAGTGGAAATACTTTGATCTTTCTTGTAGCTAAACAAACCTGTGGATTAATATAATAATGTAGTTTACGTCTTGTTACTTTAATTTATTGATCCTTTTTCTTTTCCTTGTAGGCTCCAGAAGCTTCCAAAATACCTACTTTTAGAAAACGTTAAAGGATTTGAATCCTCTTCTGCAAGGTAAAGTCTAATTTATACATGTTTTAGTTTTTAATTAAGGATGCTTTCTTTAGAAGGGGAAGGTGGGATTTTTATTTCCTACAATTTAAGTTAACAAAACAGATTGAGGTGGGACAGCTAGCAGCTGTGGGTTAAAAATACGATTTTAGTTTAGGAATGGAAATCTTAGGTTGTGAAATGAACTTGCTGAATAACTGTTTATTTCTCTAAGCAGATAAAATATGTTATAAAAAGTTGACTCCACTGATTTTATTTGATGATCCTGTGCCCTTTAGAAGGGGTGAATATTAATTTTCAAAGAAAAATAACAATAGGTGTAGCACTCTGAGGTTTAGGTGTTTTATCCATGACTGGAGCTCATGATATCCTGTGTTGTACAGTACAGGGGCTTTCGTAGTACCTTTGTTGATAGTAGATTATCACTGGTTCAGGATTGCCATCAAATGGTCAACAGGTATAGTACGAAGACTGTGTATAATCTTTATCTGAAATGTGGAAGAGGACAGTTGTCAATAAGGTTACCTAATGACAGCAGGACCATTCTCCTCTCCTGCGGGCAAAGCAGGAGACAGGAGGTTGTGGTCTTCCCTCTCATGTCTTACTGGAGTGGAGTAGGATCTTTGCATAGCATTTCTTAAAGCACCCAGAGAGCAGCCACCCTGCATATCATGCTCCTTAATGAATACGGCAGGCAGCTGGGAGGCACGCTCAGCTCGGTCACTGGTTAAGCACGCAGCAGTCCCCTGTGAACACTTGCACACTTTGTTGGAGGTGTAGGCTGCTGCTGTGGATCCTGTGATTCCCTAGGCTGTGCCTTGCTGGCCAGTGTTTGGAACAAGTTGTAGTTCAGAAAACACCCCAGTCAGAATGCTTGCTTCCTTTTACGACACGTGGGATGCAGTGTCACTTACAGTGCCAGGTGCAGGTTGCGCTCGTGCTTTTTGTGTCGTTCCAGCCTAGTGCAGTCTGCATGGAACAGAAAAGATGGGTTGTTTTAAGAAGATTTCCATTTCAGTGATTTTTCCGTTGTTTATAAAGTACAGTCCCACCTCACTGTTATTATCAAAGCCACCAATTTTTGTCATCGCTTGAGTTAGCCCTTTCATCAGGCTTGGCTGATGCTATGTATGTGAACAGAGGGAAGTAGTAAAGCTATTTGTAGTGGTTTTAATATCCTGTTTTATAATTCACAATAAAGAGAATGTCTTGCCCTCTGATGATTTTCCTTGTTGACGTAATATAAGTACTGTCCTAGAGGTGGGATATTTTTTGAAGGGGTGTTTGCACTGAAGTAGGTGTGAGATACCTGTGAATCTGTAATAGTCATTTTTGGCTACAGTAACACTTAACTTTCTATGTTGTCTCCTCAAGTTCAGAAATGGATGAATTCACATCTGTAATTCTCTGTCCGATTCTTTTGTTGAATGCCTTGATACCTAAGGTGTTGCATTTAATGTGTTTTTATTTAGGGTGAGAAAGGGCAGAAAGGTTGTATGAAGGGAATAATTGCTTTTTGATTCTTTTCACTGCCAGAAATGAACTTTTGCGAACACTAGAAACATGTGGATTTAAATATCAAGAATTTCTCTTGTCTCCAACTTGTGTGAGTAGTAAAATTGCTCTAATATTATTCAACTGTTTAAACTGCACTGAGCTGAAGAACACTTGAAAATGATCTTCTGTACCAGAGAAGAGTCCTACCCCTGAAGATACACTGGTGAATGAGAAAGCCATCTGACATGACTTGTGATTTCTCATCAGTATACTGGCATAACCATACTGCTGTGATTGTTCGGATCCTAGTCCTGTGTTGCTTTGCTGCTGTTTGATATTTTCTAAGGGGGCCTGAATTTACTGCATGACCAGGAAGGTGGTTTTCCCTGCAGGAGCCTCATTGCTTCGGAAGTGCTGATGCCTGTGAATTTCCCAGCACAGCAAATGAGACTGTGCCGTTTGTGGGAGGAGGGGCTTTGTTTGCGTGTTTCCCTGGCAACTGAAAAAAGACTTGAGACAGATTTCGGATTGTGCAAGACTAAACGGAATCAGTGAAGTACTGTATATATCTAAGAGAAGCTGTTAGGGAGTAGTTTGAAAACCAGTTCTGGTGCAATTGTTTCATTCTTAGATGTCTTAAAATTCCTTGTTCAAAAAGGCAAGGACATACCTTTTTGCATTTTTGGAGAAAACAGGTAGTGCTTGTCCCAAGAAATCATGATGCATGTCATCTTTCTTCTTACCTCACATAAAAGTTTGTTTACATTCCTGTTCATTTACTGAGAAACTCTAAACTATGAGGTACGAAGGATAATTGTCTACTTGTTTCTTTGAAAATACGTAGGTATGGAAGTTATAAGTGTTTAGGTATTATCAGTTAATACTGATATCTCTGAAGTCGCAACATGTGTTAGTGTGTCATAGTTCTATTACTGTATATAATGGCAGGTAACTTGTATGACGCTATAGAACACTTTTTCTCTCTTTATCACATGGACCTAAAGGGTTGTGGATTTTGCTTACAGCTTGGCATTCCCAATTCTAGGCTGCGATATTTTCTAATTGCAAAGCTTCACCAAGAACCATTTTCCTTTCAAGCTTCTGATCAGGTGAGTCTGTTAGTGTTACCTGAATTTGCTTTGTTTCACGAAGATTGGTGGTTAAATTTTCAGTTGAGTGGTGTGTGTTGATGAATGGAGAGAGGGATAAGTGATATCAACGGAAAAGTTAAATTCTGTCTCTTTTTCGGCCTGGATACGGAGTTTTCTAAGGACTGAAATGCATGCCAGTGGCTTAGCTGGCTTTAAACAGCTGGGAGACAGTGGTTGATAGTGGGCTAGAAAACAATGCATTCTGTTACCTGTTTCACACCCTTAGAAAAGTCTTTTTGCAAAGGCAATTATTTGCAGTTGTTCCTGACTTCATTGCTGGGTAAGTCAACAGTTTTCGAAATCTGCATGAAAATAGCGTCGTTAGTCTGAGTATCTCTAAAGGAATTCTTACTCACTGCAGAGTCGGCTGTCAAGTTGTTTATCAAATGCAGTTCTGTAACTTTTTTTCTCACAATTTATCCTTAGATATTGACAAGATTCCCAGATCAGGACCCAGAAGACTTATTCAAGGACAAAGTCGCTGACAAAGTGGGTGAAGCTAGTTCCGCCTTGTCTGGTGAAGAGAAGAATCTGGATCCAAACATTGGTCCTGATTGCAGCAGCAATAAGAAGTTACCGAAAGGGGCCTTTCTTTTTAAGCTTGAAACAGCAGAAGAAATGGAAAAGAAATGTCGTCAGGATAATAATTCCTCTATTCAAATGCTAAAAGATTTCCTGGAAGAGGAAAATGAAGATATGAGTCAGTATTTCTTACCACCAAAGTCCTTACTGCGCTATGCTTTCTTGTTAGACATTGTTAAGCCCACCTGCCGGAGATCCACATGCTTTACAAAAGGGTAAGTTGCAAAGAAAATGTCTTGCTGAATCGTGTTCTGAATTTTTAAGTGTGTTTTTGCTTGTGTACTGTAAAAACAAGGAGAGCCATTTCATCAAGAAAACCCAGGCCTCTGAAAAAAAATAAAAAAAAATTCTCCTTATATAGCGTGCTTCCTGGTCCAGTGACATGCCAGCATGAGAATCTGTCTGGCAGAACATCATGTGCCCACTCCAAAAAAGCATTCACAAAAGACAGTGCCATTTGTTGTTGACCTTCACAGAAGCTTAATTACCCCTGCGGAAATATGGTTCCAGTAGACTGGTATATTACTGATTCGTTAATGAATTTCTTTATATTGCTCAGTGAAGTTACAAAGTGTCATGCATGACAGATCCATTCCTCATTAAAACTGTCTCCACTGTACATTTTATTGATTTCTTGGAGTTTTCAGCTGTGTAGGTCAGAATAGCTGTGGATTGGCCATATGTCATAAAACCAGTTAGGTTGCTGCATTACAAATCGTATTTGATGGAGCAGAACTTCAGTGCTTTTCTGTCTGGTAGTTTTCTGATTTGTACTTTGCAGTTTTCAGTTTGACTGCTGGAGGTTGGTGAGTGTTCTGAAACCCTACAGACAACCGGTCAGAAGCTTTTCCACTGAATGCATTTGTATTGGATAATGCCAGCTGAAGCCTGGAAGTTTGTGGGAAATATTAATATTGGTGAATTTTTCAAATTAGATTTTTTTTTTGAATTCTCAGAATGTTTCAACGAAACGGCTTAGTTGATAATTAAAGCTAATTACAACTTTTTTTAATTAGAAGAAATTAGATT